TCATGGAACAGGTCAAGCTCAGTGTGCATGATGGCAATGACTACTGGAGGTGAGGATGCAAGAGACTCAGGATTAGCTTTGGTTTCCACGTGTGAGTCACCAACCAGGGAAGGAAGATATGTTTGTCTTTGAAACAGAATCCCTGATCCATTCCTGCTCCAGAGGTAAACAACCTTGGGTGACAATTCCAACCTTTTCGGCTCTTCTGAAGGATGTCTGGCCTCTGAGTCAGGTGCTTTCCCCAATAATGATATTCAAAACTGTTTTTCAAGGATTTTTTTTTAAAGCCAATTCCAACTTTCTTATTATACCATTTCTAACCTTTCAGTATGCAAATCACTCGCTTCAGAGTACAATTGGAGTACAACTCCCTTTAGAGTACACTTGTACAATGCAGTTCTTCAATACAGATGCATTTTGTGATTTCTGACTCATACTTTTAAAATTTAAATTGCAATGGTTTTATCCAGATCAGGTCAAAACAAGAGTGCTATTACACTTGGTGGAAATGGCCTTTACTTGCTTTAATTCTGTATGCTCCCATTTTTTCCTTAGGACTATCTTTGATAAAGAAAACTGGTCTATTGTCTTGGAAAATTTCCCCAAATTGGAGTTTTCTGTCTGCATCTCCACAAGGATGGCAGCATGATTCTAATGGGTTCCTACCCATGTTTAGCACTGTTTTGTACTCAACGCGCAGAAATAAATTTTACTATTTTCCAGAGGAATTACATCATGAGTTTATACGGATTTCCAATTCAAAGTTAGCATTAATGTTTTATTATTAGCATTTAATCATGCCATTTTTATAAAACAAAACCTAATCTTATAGGTTCAAAACCTTGATTCTTTTTTTTTAATACATTTTTTTATTTTGACAATCTTTACATAGTTGATTTGGGCAAAAAGGGTCAAGGGCTACAGGAAAGTGGGTAAGATTATTATTTCCATATTGTTTCCTTCATATATCTGAGGTAGAGGGGGATATTGAGGGAGAAGCCCCACCCGGTTTCCCACCCACCTCAAGTACCGCATGTGGGGCATGATCCGAGATACTCATTGAAGTGGTTTCAATAGGTCACCACAAAACCTTGATTCTTTTAAGCTTAATTATTTATTTTATCCTTTTATATCAGTGTACATACATATATACTTATAAGCATATACATACATAGTAGGTTCAGATAGTAAAATTAATATTACCAACGTGACACATTTAAGATCTATTGTGATAGCTTTTATCCTTACGACACATCTTCCCAAGGATTACTATCAAATTATTGCATTTAAAACTTACTTTGTTTCATTATATTTGTAAACAGAGATCCCTTCCATCTGCTGGTTCACTTCTCAAAGGCCTGTAACAGGTGGGGCAGGGCCAGAGCAAAACCAGGTGCCATGAATACAAGCCAGGTCTCATGGACCTGGCAGAGACCAAAGGATTATCACTCGTCACCTCCCAGAACCCACAAAAAGAAGAGAGCTGGAATCAGAAGTGGAGCCAGGATTCAAACTCAGGCCTGGATGTGGGATGCAGATACCCAGGTGTCATGCAGCTGTTGGCACTGAACACTCTCCACAAACAACTGCCTATAAATTACTCCTATCTTGAGTGTGAGGTGCCATCTCTACACACAGGCCATTTGTCTCACTTAAACTTTGCTTGATAATTATGTACAGTATTTACATTGGATCAAAATCAAATGCACAAGACAAAATATACCCAGGAGGACCAACTTACATCCTTTCATCTGACTTTCCCTCCCTCTACAGGAAACTGTTTACAAGAGTTCGGTTTGTTCTTCACCTAAAATATAACTAAAGGCAACAAATTATTTCTTACATAACATTTAACATACTTTGTGCATTGTTCCCCACCATACACCTTTCACTCAACAGTACATCTTGGAAGTCATCCTATATGGACTAGTAGAATACCATAAACAGTTTATAATCTGTTTGCTAGCAACAGCATCTCAAATGGAAACCAGTTCATGTCACAGATGCTCCATTTCTTTTTTTTTTTAAACATTTTATTATTATTACTATCATTTTAAGATACAGTTCCATTGGCTCCTGGGATTTCGCTTATCTCCTCAATAATCCCTCCCCCACCACCACCTAGTTCCTCTATATCATTACTAAAATATAGTTCTTCATACAGTCATATGTCCATCATTGTGGGCATGGACAATGGCAGAAAGTCCAAAATCCTGTTGTCAAAATGTAATAAACAGTTTCATCGTAAATCCATCTTTGCCTGGAAACAGAAATGCATACTACATTTTATCCTCACATCTGGACGTTAGTCTCCATTACACAACTACTGTACATTCCCTTAAATAAAAAGTCATAATACAAAATCAACAGCAGAAAGAAAAATAGAAACTTACAATGCCATGAAGTTAAATGACATGTTACTACATATGACAGTCTCTATTACACAGCTACTATACATTCCCTTAAACAAAGAGCCACAAAACAAACTCAACATCAGGGAGAAAAAAGAAGTTAACAACAAAATGAAGTTAAACAACATGCTACTAAATGCATAATGTGTAGCTGAAGAAACAAAAATCAAGAACCCTCTTGAAAAAAAATGATGCCACTACATAATCTATGAGTCACTGAATGATTTAATCAGAAGAAAGTGTTTTGAAGAGATGAAATAACAGAAAACAACAAAACCCATGAGATATAGTTTCCACTGATCTGTTGAAGTGTGTCCTCCAGAAAAATAAACAGAAGGGTTTTGTTTTTTAATCCAGTCTACTAATCTATGGTGTTTGATTGAGCTTAAGCCATTTACATTCAGAGTTAAATATACATGGGTGGTATTTTGGTCCTGTCATTTTAGGAATGGGTTGTTCATTGGTTTAGTCTTCTATTGTCATTTTACTGGGATGTTCTTCCTGCTTGCCTTTGGTTTTGGTAGGTGCTTTTCCTCTTCTCTGTCAAGAGAACATCTTGAAGTATCATTTGTTAGGGCAGGTTTTGAAGAGGCAAATTCTTCTAACTTTTCTTTACTGTAGAAGAATTTTATTTCATTTTCAAAGATGAAAGAAAGCTTTGCTGGATATGTTATCCTAGGCCGACAATTTTTTTCTTTTAGGATCTGGAATATGTCACTCCATTCTCTTCTTGCCTGTAGAGTTTCCTGTGAGAGATCTCCTGTGAGTGTAACTGTCATTCCTTTATATGTCAATTGATTTTCTTTTTCACATGCAAACTTAAGGATCTTTTCCTTATATTCAACTGAAGAGAGCTTGATGACCATGTGTCATGGTGAAGATTGCATTTGATCAAGCCTGTTGGGAGTTCTGAGCCCCTCCTGGATCTTGTTTCCCAATTCTTTCTCTAGATTAGGGAAATTTTCCTTTATTATTTCATTAAATACATTTGCAAACTCAGCTTCTCTTTCTGCACCTTCCGGGACTCCCATAACTCCTATATTTGGCCTCTTAATAGTGTCTTTCAATTCTTGAATACTTTTTTTTGGCCTGATCCAGCTCTGCTTCCAGCTTTTTGCTTGCTTCCCCGTGATGACAGGAGATATCTTCCAATTCTGAGATTCTTTCTTCTGCTTGCTTCATTCTATTTTGGAGACTCTCCATTGTACTTTTAATTTGCTCTACTGTGTTCTTAATTTCTGATATATCAGCCTTGATTTGCTTTATTGCTTCTGTAAATTCTTTGAACTCTTGCATGAGCTTCTCATTGTTGATCAGAAGCTTTTTTTGTTTGCAGTCACTTGTGCTACAACCTCTAGGGAGTTCTAGGCGTGGGTTCTTATGTTAGATTTCCACCATGGTCTCCACAGCCGCAGCTCTTGGCTCACCACTCTCCATCTCTTGTGATACTGTGCTGAGGCTGCGTTGTTGTCTCTGCAATCTTTGTCGCACTTCTGGTTGGAGAAGGTACCAGGATTAGAGAGATACCAGGTGTATTATATAGCTAGGTTGTTGGTGGTGGTGATCTTGCTGGAACCTGTGGGACGTTAGGTCTGGGTGCCACATGGACCTATTTTGAACCATATGATGCCACAGTCAGTATTATTTTCCTGTAGGACCAGTGCAATTTGCTGAACTCAGTGAGTTCTCATGAGATCAGCTCATGTGCAGTTCACTGTTATCCCCTGCAGTCCTAAAGCTATTACCACATTGTACAAAATGGCACCTCAGTACTGCTACCAGAATTCTTGATCTGCAGGCCATCTGGTCTGAGGGCTACCTGGGCCTGTCTTAGGTGGAACCTGTAGAATGCCATGTCGTTGCAGTTCACTGAGTCAGAAATGATTTCATTCCCAGCTTAGAGAGCTCAGGAGGAGTTCAGGTGGAGTTCACTGAATGCCATTGGAATATCAGTTGCTGTAACACCACACCATTATTTCTGCTGCGTTCCTGTGTCTGTCCATCTCCAGATACCGCTCTGCTGTTATTCTGTCCTCTCCTATTTCCTGGAATATATCCTTTCTGTTTCATTCTGATTAAATGTTTCTCCATCTGTTTAAATGTGTCCTTACCCTATTCCGCCATCCTGATTCTCTAGCTGTTCCATTTCCAATTAGGTTCCCTGCTTATGTCCTGTGAAAGCAGCAGAGAACTAAAGTGCTTGGCCCCTGCAGCCACATGGGAGACTGGGAAGCAACCCTGGGTTCTCTGCTTCAGATTGCCTCAGCTCTGGCCATTTTTGCCATTTGAGGAGTGAATCAGGGAATTGAAGACCACATTCTCTGTATCTGTTCTCTCAGTAAATCTGTCTTAGCATCCCAAGATTTAAGGCCATCCTCTACTGCTTTCACAGGTCACAAGCAGGGAGCTGGACAAGAAGTGGAGCTGCCAGGATTAGAACCAGCGAACATATGGCATCCCAGCGCATTCAAGGTGACGACTTTAGCCACTAGGCCACCAAGCCAGGCTCTCCCATAATCTTGGTATCAACCCTACCATCCAGTGAGGGGGTGACCACTAGGAGTCCCAGAGGATGACTAAGGAGCATGGCTAGGGGCTCAGGGTGATCTGGGTACCTGAGAACAGCAGCCTGAAAAAAGGGAAGATCTTTCCCTGGAAGGAGGCCTGGAAAGTATAGATGTGGTTGTTGGTATCAGCGTCATAGAAGCTGACCTCCTTGCCCTCAAGATCCAGACAGACACCCACTCTCCTGGGGCAGACCTGGAGGTTTTCCCGCGAGTCTCTCCCAGTGAGCACATGGCACTCAAACCTGGTGATGTGCAGCAGCCAGAAGCCACTGGCAGGCTCCAGGGTCAAGCTGCCCTTCCTTGGCACCTGTTCCCATGCCACTCCCACATCACAAGCCCTGCCCAGGTGCCCACTGAGTTCCACTTCCCAGGTGTGTCGGCCGGTGGAGAAGCCTGGGGAGCCCAATACGCAACGGAACGGGAAGAAGCGCTGCGGATCCACTGGTTCCTTTGAGGAGTTCTGACGCATCATGACCAATGTCACAGTTTTCAGATCCTGAGAAAGGCTGAGGTCAGGATGGGCCGAGGCCATGTTGAAGGTCACAGGGGCTGTGGGAAAAGGAGGGGAAAGAGGTTCAGCCTCCGGTCAAGTCTTATATCTTGCCAGTCACATCCATGGGGACGGGTTTGGCAATCAGTGACCAGGCAGGCCTTAACACCTGTATGGACTTCCACTCTGGAGGAGGGAAGGGGAGTGGACACAGGCACAGGAACATCCTGTGCCCACTAGGGAGGACAACAGCCCATGCAACAGCCAGAAAGCAGTGTGATTGTGGTTTCTTCTAAGAATAAGTCCTTCCCTCTTTGGAGTTATCACCACCACTACTGCCGCCTTGACACCCAATCCCAGGAGCCCAGGCCTCTCCTCTAGGTCTCCTCAAGTCTAGGTCCTGATCACCCCAGCCACTCACTCAGCACCCGATGGAGCTCGATAGAGCTGGAGGGTATTTGGAACCTCCATGTGTCCGCTGTGTCAGCATCTACTTCATTTCCAGCAGTTTCAGCTTGTGGCAGGCTTGATTGTAAATCCGATTCTGTTATTTCGAACTTTGCCCCTAACTGGGCTTCGAAATGAGCTGGGGGATGGGGAGTTGAGGATCCCGGGTTGGCTTTTGGGTCACCTTTGACAGAGAAGGAAAGAAAAGCAAGGTTGGTGGGAGCAAGAGGGCAGGAATCCCCAACGCCCTCACAAGCTCAAGGAGCTCACTCCAGGGCTACCAGCTCCCACAGTTAGTGGAAAATGGGCTGGGACAGAGGGGCGCTTGTCGTCTGGCAATGCACATGTCACCTTACGTCTGCCCACACCATCCATGGCACCTGACACCTCTTCAAGGCCTGTGGAGGCCATAGCATCACCTCTTCTGTGGGCGATCACTCCAGGTGATCTTCATTATCAGCTAATTACAGCATGTGGTGTTTGCCGGAAGGTTCCTTCTGCCCTTCCCTTCCTTACCCTTTAAAACCTGTATGCAGCATGAAATAGAGTGGGCATTCCTAACCAGCTTGTCTCTGGTGGTTCTTGCGGCTGAAACCACCGTCTGCCTCACCCTCAGTGACCTTGCATCCTACTGGTGGGCCCAAACCATGGAGACTCCTCCACCAGCCTTCTCTCTCTGCATTTCATTCCTGTTTTCTATTCTTTCCCTTTGCTCTCCACCTCAGATTGGACCTGAGAACAGTCATTGGTCCCAGCAGCTGTGCTGAGGGCGAGGACACATGTCTGCAGCTCCCTCCACAGACTGTGTCCACCTTGAAATACCCACTGGTTTGTATTCCCTTCCGCCCCAAGGGCAGTCTTCTGTGTCCAAGCCTGGAGTTCTACCTGGGTTGCTTGGCTCCATCTGTTTCTTCTTCTGTGTTAGGATTAATTTTCTCAGGCAGTGTGTGGCAAAGTTAGTTTTCATCCTCAAAGTCAGAGGTTGAGAGCTACACAAAGGCAATGCTCACCTACCATCAACATCAGGAATAAAGGCAGCCAATAATTCCCAGTTTGCACCACCACTGCCCTCAACGTTAGCTTGGATATATTTCAGTTTGCCTCGTACTCAGCAGGAAAGGGGGTTGCTGCTGGCCTGTGTTTCTGGTTACTGAAAATGGGAAACACTGAGTTCAAATTGGAGGTGGGATGCCCAGTCATCTAGCACAGCAGAGAATGCCCTGAGTCTAGTACATCTAGATCTATTTCTTGTGTTCTATGGCTCTCAGCAGGGAAGATATCAGTTGATGATTTTTGATTACTTTGGATTGTTTTTGTGCCTGTGAGTTATCTGGGTTAAAATTTAAATTAGAGCCCGGAGCAATAGTGTAGCAGTTAAAGTCCTTGCCTTGAATATGCCAGGATCCCATATGGGCTCCGGTTCTAATCCCGGTGGCCCTGCTTCCCATCTTGCTCCCTGCTTATGGCCTGGGAAAGTAGTCGAGGATGATCCAAAGCTTTGGGACCCTGCACCCACATGGGAGACTTGGAAGATGCACCTGGCTTTGGATCGGCTCAGCTCCAGCTGTTGTGGTCGCTTGGGGAGTGAATCACTGGACGGAAGATCTTCCTCTCTGTCTCTCCTCCTCTCTATATATCTGCCTATCCAATAAAAATAAATAACTCTTTAAAAAAATATGGGCCTGGCGCGGTGGCACAGTGGTTAAGGTCCTCGCCTTTCACGCTCGGGATCCCATATGGGCGCCGGTTCTATCCCGGCAGCCCCGCTTCCCTTCCAGCTCCCTCCCTGTGGCCCGGGAGAGCAGTCGAGGATGGCCCAAGGCGTGGGTTTTGGGACCCTGCACCCACGTGGGAGACCCGGAAGAGGCCCCTGGCTTCAGACCAGCATAGCATCGGCAGTTGCTCTCACTTGGGGAGTGAATCATTGGACGGAAGATCTTCCTCTCTGTCTCTCCTCTCTGTATATCAGCCTTTCCAATAAAAATAATAATAAATAAATAAATAAAATAAAAGTATGAATTATTCCACTAGACCTATTCTTTGCCCTTTTGTGGGAGAATTCTCCCCCTTCCCTTTGGGAGTGTCACTCTCCTGCTTTGGCAGGAATCAGCCCCAAACCTCCACTTATGGTTCTGTTTGGAGGAACCTGTCCATATCTGCTCTGGGGTTAGAGAACAGAAGACATGAGAGGTCAGGGAATTTGAGCAAGGAACCCAGGTTGCACCACAAGGCCCTGATGTGAAACCCCTGGGAGAAGTGAGCTGAAGTTGTCTCTCACATTCTCAGTGCACATGAGACTCCTAGCCTTGTTGTCTTCCTTCCCTGAAGTATCCACACAGCCCAGCACTATTCAGTAGATATCTGATGAGACCTCATTTTGGAGGATTTAAAAATTCCTGGGTACTGCATGATGGAGTAGCACCCTAATCCTCTGCCTGCAGTGCAGGTACATCCATATGGGCACCAGTTCATGTTCGGACGACTCTGTTTCCAATCCACCTTCCTGCTTATGGCCTGAGAAAGCAGCAGATGACCCAGGGACTTGGGACCCAACACCTACATGGGGGACCCAGAAAGAAGTTCCTGGTTTTAGAGGAGCCCAGACCCATCTGTTGCGGCCATTTGGGGAGTTAAAAAGTGGATGAATGTACTTTGTGTTTTTGTTTGTTTAAATCTGGTGTTTCTCCTCGCCCAGCCCTATATGTTGTAAACATTTGGGAAATTAATTGAGTGGATAAGAGATCTCTCTCTTTGATTCTCTGCTTTCTAAATAATGAATTTTTAAATTAGTTTATTTTTGTGCAACAAATTTTGAAAGTCATGGGTTACTTTTTTTTTAATAAATATTTTCCATGAACAATTAATCATGCCACACATAATTTTAACTTTTGTAGTGGTAGGGCCAGTGTTGTGGCATTGCAGATAAAGCTGAAATCTGTAATGTCAACATCCCATCTGGTCTCCTATCTATTGCACACTCACATCTTCTGCTCCATTTCTAACCCAGCTCCCTACAAAAGGCCTAGGAAAGCAGGAGAAGATGGCCCAATTACCTGGACCCCTGGACCCCTGCTACTCACCTGGAAAAACAGATCAAGTTCCTGGCTCCTGACTCAGACCTGGCCAGCCCTGGCTGTTCTATGCATTTAGGGAGTAAATCAGTTGACGGAAGAGCTCTATCTCTTAATCTCTTCCTCTCTCTGAAACTCAAACAAGTAAGTTTTGTTTGTTTTTTCAACTCTTTTTTTTATTGGGAAGGCAGATCAGATTTATGGAGAGATAGAGAAACAGAGAAGGATCATGCATCTGCTGGTTCACTCCTCAGATAGTTGCAGCTGCAACAGCTGCAGCTGATTTGAACCGAAGCCAGGGGCCCCGAAAATTCTTCTGGGTCTTCACATGGGTGAAGGGTCTAAAGAATTTGGACCATCCTCTGCAGTTTGCCTAGGCCTAAACAATCAGCTAAATGGCAAGCAGAGAAGCCAGAATACAAACCAGTGCCCTTATAAGATCCTGGTGGTTACAAAGTGAGGATTTAGCCATTAAGCTATTATGCTGGGACCAGTAAATAAGTCTTTAATATGTTTTGTCCAGTGGTTATATTAAAATCTAAGAAGAGAGGCTGGCTTTGTGGTGCAGCAAGTTCTGTGGACCCTTGCAATGCTGGCATCCTGTGGAAGGCCAGGGTCTGCCTCCTCCCTACAGACATAGGCCTCGGGGCCATATGAGACTGAAGGCCAGGACCCCTTTTGTGGCTGTCACAAGAATGTGGGCAGTGTGGAGCACAAAATGGGAGAAATGCCCGAGGGAGGCAAAGCCATGGAAAGTTACCATGATGGCCACTGACTGGAGAATTTTCCAGGGCTAATAGAGGCCCCCTGAGTCTTTTCCTTACCTCCAAGTTTTTTCAGGCTCTCAATGATGGAGTCATTTCTGGACTTTGCTTCATTGAGTTGTTTTTCAAGGTCCAGAGGAATTGGAGTTGAGTGATGAAGCTGAAATTGAAACTCTTCACTCCTAGGAGGACAAGGCAGAGCTGTGTGGGGAGGCTGGTGTTCTGGACCCAGCCCTGTGGGAATGCAGTTACAGGAGTGGGAGTGGCAGGGGACATCAAAGGCTAGGGAGTGTTGAGTCAGGAGGCAGGCACTACAGAAATGAGGCTGGAGTGAGAAGCTGCCCAAGGAGACTTGGATGTGAAGGGGAGAGTAGAAAAGCAGTGGGCCAGGGTGAGGGGACCAAGAGGCATCCAGCTGAGCAGGGGCCAATAGGAGGCCCTGGGAGATGGTGAGAAGAGCTCAGACCTCTCACAGCCAGTTAATGTGCTCAGCTCAGACCTTCCCACATGCAGCCTAAATCTCTGACTGCAAAGTCTGAGTGTGGGTGTTGGAGAGTAGGAGGTATAGGTGGTATCTGAAACTATGTTGGGGGTAGAATCTAGCAGACTACTCAAGTCAGCATGCATGTCAGATGGTCATCATACCTGTGCAAAATGTCTTTGATGTCCTGGAAGAGAAAGACAAATAGCATGGTCTCATCACTTGGTTGATCCACGAGGTAAGGGAGCAACCAAGGAGGCAAATGGGTGTGGGCAGACCTGGAGCAGTATAACATATCTGAGACTCTCTCTCCTGTTCTCACTCACCAAGAGGACTCCTCCAAAACCACTGATATGGCTCTGTGTTGAAATGTGGTTAGATATCAAGAGGAACCATTGATGAACAAAAAAAGACTGACAATTTGCAGATGAACTTTTTCTGATACTTATCTTAGCCAAGTGAGGCCTATTCCCTGAGACAGAGACAAATTGAAATGAGTTTGCATGAATTTTCTTGATAGAAGGGAATGGACACTCCAACCAGCACAATGGTTCAAAAACCTAGAAGAAGCTCCTGGATTTAATCTAGCACATCCAAGCCATTGTGAACAATTGGGAAATGAACCAGTAATAGTAGATTCTCTCTTTCCTCTCTTTTCTTTGCATAACTTGTCCTTTCAAGTAAATAGTTTTTTTTAATTTATTTTGTCTGAAACATTTTGAAGCCCATTTGTAATTTCTTCTTCATATATTTTTAATAGAGATTTCTTTATTTTTATTGAAAAGACAGATTTACACAGAAGGATAGACAGAAAGAAAGATACTTCCTCTGTTGGTTCACTCCCCAAGTGGTCACAACACTCAGAGATAACTCCATGCAAAACCAGGAGACTCTTCTGCATCTCCCACATGGGTGCAGGTCTCAAGGCTTTGGCCTATTCTCTGCTGCTTTCCCAGCCATGTTAGCATGGAACTGGATTAGAACTGAAGCAGCTGAGACTCTACTTTTTTTTTTAAGATTTATTTATTTTTATTACAAGGTCAGATATATAGAGAGGACAGACAGAGAGAAAGATCTTCTGTCCGATGGTTCATTCCCCAAATGACTGCAATGGCTGGTGCTGCGCCGATCTGAAGCTGGGAACCAGGAACCTCTTCTGGGTCTCCCAGGCGGGTGCAGGGTCCCAAGGCTATGGGCCATCCTCTACTGCTTTCCCAGGCCACAAACAGAGAGCTGGATGGGAAGTGGAGCTGCCAGGATTAGAACTGGTGCCCATATGGGATCCATGCGCATTCAAGGTGAGGACTTTAGCCACTAGGCCACAGCGCCAGGCCCGCAGCTGGGACTCTAAACAGCACTCATATAAGATGCCAGTGTTACAGGCAGTATCTTAATTCACAAAGCCACAGTACCAGTACCACAATATTTTAAAATATAATTTTCATCTATCTGAAAGGCTGAGAGTCAGAAATAGAAAAAGACATGCTCCATCTGCTGGTTTAATCCCTAAATGCTCACACAGTCAGGGCTGAGCCAAGTAACAGTCAGGAGTCTGGAACACAGCCCAGTTCTCCCACTTGGGTTGCTGGGATTCCAGTACTTGCCCCATCACCTGATTCCTCACAGGGCCAACATTAGCAGGAAGCTGGGTGGGAAGTGAAAGGTGGAGGTACAGCTTGGACTAGGCATATCCACAAGGAATGTGGATGTGCCAAGTAACATATTAACCAGTGTACCGAACACCTGCCCTTTAATGTGCTGAAGCTCTTCTTATGTGGCTTGTAATATATTTCTAAAATTACATATTTGGTGCACATAAAAATTCTGGATTGTACTGGGCATTCACTCCCATTCTATTTCTAAATCATATATGTGGTGCACATATTTGAAATCAAACATGTGGCTCATACTGTATTTCTAAATGACACATTATTACTTTGACTCTTTCTGCTGAAGGTGCTGCCATGGAGGCAGGGTGTCTGGGACAGACTTAAGCATTCTGACAGGTGCTGGGTGCTAAGCCAGACACCAGACTAAGCTCTGCCTTGCGGGAATTCTGCCTCAGAGGGACTCACCTGTAGCAGCTGTCTTGGTGGCATCTGCTGTTTGGCCTTCAAGGAATCCTTGAGCTGTTTGAGCAACATGAGCTGTTCCTGGGTAGAAGTATTGTAGTGTTCACATTTCTTGGCACCCTCTTCCTCTACCCACTTGATGCTGGACAGGACGATGCTCTCCTTTTCCTCCAACATCTGGTGCAGGTGTTTGAATTCTGTGTGGACCCGTTGCTTCTCAAACTTCACCAGGTCCTAGGGGTAAGGTACAGGGTAACAGGGAAAAGAGAGGGTCACAATTTTCCTTCCATTCATGCTATCCAATTTTAATTTTTAAAAATATTTAGCTATTTTTATTGCAAAGTCAGATACACCAAGTGGAGGTGAGGCATAGAGGAAGATCTTGTTTCAGATGATTCACTCGCCAATTGACTGCAATGGCTTGAGCTGCACCAGTTCAAAGCCAGGATCCAAGAACTTCCTTCAGGTCTCCCATGCGGGTACTGGACCCTAAGACTTTGGGCCATTCTCATCTGGTTTCCCTGGCCACAGGCAGGGAGCTCAATGAGAAGTGGTGCTGCCAGGGTTAGAATTGGCATCCATATGGGATCCCAGTGTGCTAGGGTCCGTGCAGTAGGTGTGGATGACATGAAGGTATGAAGAGAACAGCTCCCCTGTTTGGCAGGACCCATGGGAGCTTCCTGCTGCATGGTAGGGCCTGGCAGATGTCTCTATAACCACCCGAATGCAGTTCCACCTCCCTCTGCAAAGACACCCGACCACCCCGCTAAGAATTCTGTAATCTATTGAGGCATTGTTTGGCCCTGCAAGATGGTTTTTACAAACAATGTGAGCTTGGGAGTTAATGCTGCTAATAACGTCTTGGTGAATGGGCCTTTAACATTGTATGTTGTCTCGGTTGCTGTTATGGCCCTTTGGCTGGAAGAGCTCAAGAATGTCTGTACTGGGTGGGTCTCAGGACGGGGCGTCTCATGCCTGGATCCCGGACAGCCGCCATGGGCACATGGTGAGCTGCTCCCCGGGTGGCCAGTGTGCCATTTTGTGCCAGGCTCAGCCTGCTGACCGCCCGGATTGGGAGCTCTGGGGATTTGGTTTTTTGAGTTGCTGCTTAATTAGCTCCAGGTTGAACCCATTGTGTTTCTTGGACCTGAAACAGGCAGTAACTCTTCCTTTGCAAAACTTGTAATCACTAATAATGCTGAGCACCAAATACCAGTCATGCAGAAGCTATGACTTGGGGCTTGTCCTGCACAAGTAGCTCCAACAGCTGGCCAATGTGTCAACTGGTAATGGAACAGAGTAGATTAGGCACGACTGAGCAAACCTTAGCCCACAAGTAAAACTAGAAACCAGGAGGGAGCAGAGGTCATGCCGAGCTGGGCTCTTGTACCTGCTGGTCTGTGGGAGCCTGGGACGCTAAGCCACAGTGTCTAAGGCAGAGTTCGGGACAGGGGATGGGCTGTGCCAAGCTGAGTCAGAGCAACCACTGGCATGCGAGTGATCTATGGCTGGGAACAGACCCGGTTGGGGAGCAAAGGGGACAACCCTAGCTGGGCTGAGGTTCACACCAAGAAGCGCGTGGCCTGGAAGGGGGGCTGAGTTCTGATCTGGAAACAGTTGTAGTCTCCCTTGGCACAAGTGTGGACTGGGATTGGATGCACCGAACTGGGCTGGACCCCGACTCCCCCTGGTGTTCTGGAGGACCAGGGCAGATGTGGGATGGACTAGGCAAGGTCTCAAACCCCTACTGAGCCATGTGTGAGCCATACGTGGGTATGGACAAACCATGGCTGGGCTGGAACATCCAACAGCAAGAACCAGATTGGGTGGAAGGCCAGTCAGGAAAAGCCACAGTTCCTGCTATGACAGGAGGTGGACTGAGTAGGGTTGGCTCATGGACCCACTGGTAAGCGTGAAACCTGGCATTGGGAGAGGTTCTAATGGAGGGGCCTGGCCAACTCCTCTGGCAGGACACAGACCCAGCAGGTAAACGCAAGAAACATGATAGGAAACAGCCCAGAACAGGCCATGGAAAACTACCCACTGGCATACAGTTGGCAGACGTGGGGGCAAGACCAGGCTGAATCTGTCCACATCATCCACTGGCAAATCCAGGCACCAGTGTGGGTCGAACCAGGTTTGGTTGCAACAAAGACTAGTGCACATTATGGAATGCCGAGGTGAGGTTGCCTATACCAGAAGGGACCGCAGCGCCCAACCAGCCTGATAACAAGAAAGGAAGTGGGCAGAGCTGGCAGGGGAATAAGGGAGGGTTCCTTTGCCGGACAGCTACTTCCGCAGGCGAGCATGGGCTGGGATGGGGGCAGACCAGACTAGGCAGAGCTACCACACCTGTGCGCCTCATGTGGACTAGATCAAGGAAAAGCCGGGCTGGGCAGATTATTCCTACTGGTGCAAACAAAATTAGAGTGGGCAAGGGTTGTTTGGGCTTAGACGCAGCATCAACTGGAATCTGGGAGTGGGAGAGGCCTGGGAGGGAAATAGTGGGCTCATCCCTCTTGGGTTACCACTCCCACAGGAGGACATAAAACTAAGACAGCGGCTGGGGTGGAATGGGGGGTGGGACAGACTGGATTACTGCCTCACTTACTGGAAAACCAGGGTAGGGGGTGGGCCTGGTGGGGGTTATTGTGGGTCGCTCCAACTAGGCTGCAGCTCCCACTGGTTTATGTGAGGGCCAAGTATGTGCTGGGCAGAACCAGGCTGGACTGCAACACCCATTGGTTCCAGTGGAAGTCGGGAGTGAAAACAGAACCAACCCAGCAATTGCAACCAGCAGCTGATTGGAGCGATGGACGGTGCCAGGCCCTGTACTTGTTAGCACATACAAGAAGTTTCTTTGGAGATCTTCCTAATCTAAATGCTGGACTCAGAACCCTAATGAAGAAAAGAGAGAAGACAGAACAGGTCAACCAACCATCTCAGCTATGATGGACTATGTCAATCAGTGGATTTTTCAAAGATCTCATGGTGCTTGGAGTGGCAAGATTGACAGTGATTCATAACTGTGGCAATATCAAAACCACTTGAGCAAGAACCTCAGAGCATGCCCTACGTCCGGGACCTGGGGAGGGTGGGAAATTGGGTGGGCTTCTCCCTTAAATACCCCCCTTTAAATATGAAAGCTAACAATATGGAAAACATACTAGTATTATCCACTTTCCTTTAGCCCTTGAACCTTCTTACCCTAATTAACTATGTAAAGAATGTCAAAAAAAAAAAGATATTCAAAGTATGTATCATAAGAAGCCAGAAACAACTCTATATGTAAAAACTCTATATGTAAAAAAAAATGTTTATCTTCCCTAAATAAACTGTTCTTTTCATGCGGAAAAAAAAAAGAATGTCTGTACTAACATTGCAATACACACTTTCAAACTAACTTAGGGTTAATTGAGGGTTTAGTGGGAATGTATGTTTGCAGTTTTTTTGTTCCTGATCTTTATCTTTTCCCCTCTGTGATATATTTTCTCCTCTAACTGATAAGTTATACAATAAGAAATGTAGGAGTGTACTACTGATTAATATGTGTTGTCTACTAAGGAATTCCTGGCTGCAACGTCAGAATGGATAATGCCCTGCTTTAAGGTGAAGCAATTTACAGAGTTATCTTTGGAAGCACCACTTGTCCATTATAGAGTTCAAACAAAAATGAGTAAACATGGTTCATTGCTAACTGCAATTCTTTTTGCCTTTATAACTCCTGCTTTACTTGCTTAGCTAACAAACTGTGTGAGCTTGCAGACCTAATGGCCAACTAGTGCCAATGGCCCCAGTCCCCATAAACCAAGGCCCCAGATTTATTAACCCACAGATAATTCAAGATCGGGGTCTGGTTGTCATTAGTGGCACCGAGGTTAGAGCCCAGACCTGAGGAGAGCAGGCAGGTGCTGGCAAGCCGAGATAAACAAGGAATGCTTAATCCTTCCTGTTGTAAATTGTGCCCCCCTTAAAGCTGTGCTGCTCGGGCCACACTCTGCGGTCAAATGGATATAGCACCATGATGTAAAAGGTTGGTGCCAGAGCTTGTGACTGCTTCTGTCTAAATAAAGGAGACAGCTTCCTTGCATTGTCCATTATGATCCTGAAATTGTAGTGGTCCATTTATTTTCTCTCTATGCCTATTTCACACACCCTTCTCAAGTTCCAAACTAGGCTGGAGCTGGCCTCCAGCACCTGTATATTCAAGGTGAGGACTTTAGTTGCTATGCCACCACGCCAAGCCCCCGTTTCAATTTTTATATTTGGTTATACTGAGTACCAATGTAGAAGGGGTACAGACTTGAGACAAGATGAGGAGAATAAACATTTTTTTACCTTAAAAAGATTTGTTTATTTATTTGAAGGTTGTAGGGAAGAGAGAGGTCTTCTGCCTGCTGGCTCACTCTGTAAATGCCCAAACAGCCTGAACTGGGCCACACTGAAACTAGCAGACAAGACCTCCATCCAAAATGGGTGCAGGAACCCAAGCACTTGGACCACCTTTTGCTTTCCCAGTTACATAAGCAGGAACCGGAATTTGAAATAGAGCAATTGGACTTCAAATCAGTATTCATTCATACGGGATGCTATTTTGAAGGAAGCAGGGATTAACACACTCCACCATGATGCAGGCTCTGTGAACACCTTCAAAAGCATCACCTTTGTCGGCATTGTGGTACATTTCATTAAGACATTGCTTGCAATGAAACCATCTCATAGTGAGTGCTGGTTTAAGCACTGGCTGCTCTGCTCTGATCCAGTTCCTAGTAATGCACCTAAGAGGACAGCAGAAAATAACCCAAACACTAGGCTCCTGTCACCATATGGGAGACCTGGATGAAGCTCAGATTTCCTGGCTTCTGTATGGACCACCTCTTTGCCATTGAGACCATTGGAAAGTGAATCAGTAAAGGAAAAAATCTCTCCTCTCACTGTCACTCTTCCTCTCAAGGCTTCAAAAATTTTTTTAAAATAAAAACACTTCCTTTGTGCTCAGTGCCACATTCTTCCATCATTTATTTAATCAATTTTGCTTTCAAGAATTTGCCAAAAATTAACCTTTCCAGAAGGTTTTTCAGTTTCAATATGCTTTCATGTAGGTTTTTTTTTCTTTGATACCTCAAAACCAAAGCAATACAGGGTGGAGTGTTTCCTTACCATGAAGTTGATGATCTTCTCTTCATCTTGAGCTTTCATGTGTACCAGTTCCTGCTCCTTTTGCTCCAAGACGTCCACATGCAACTGGATCTGCTCCTGTGGGGAGAGGGACCTTCAGTTAAGGCTCTGCCTGGATTGTTCTTGGCCCCATAAAAACTTTGTAGTTTTTCCACACAGCATATGAGAGGCTCCAGGGAGTTCTGAGAGTGTTACTCTACACTCCTTTCTCGAGCTGGGGGGAAGAAAGAAATCAGAACCTCTGTGACCTAAAAGAGAAGAGGGTTGCTATGACTCTTTATGAGTAATGTTTGGATGGTACTTCAAGACTGTCAAAGAAGTCCCACAAACCTTCCCTCACCTCTTTTACCAACAGTTTGAAGAGGCATGTTTGGGATCTGCTGCTAATGTCCTTAGAGACCAGTGAAGAATGGCCAAAGTCTTTTTTTCTTCTAGGTAGACCTGGAAGAAGCTCCAGGCTTCCAGTTTGGGACTGACACAGCTCCAGCTGTTTCGACAATGTGCAGAGTGAACAAGAAAGACCTCTCTCTCTCTCTCTCCCTCTTTTTCTCTCAAATTGTGCCTTTCAAAAAATGTTTTTTTTTCTATTAAATACATGAATGCAATTTGAAAGCTGAGGCTTCTGACGCTTGGGAACCCCCCAAAAATTCCTTAAAAGTCACACAAATAACTCAAATATGGACTTGATCCAACACCTTTTCCAAAAGTTTATATATTTAAATTTATTTTTAGTATTATTAACATGATAGAGAGGGATTCATGTGTATGTATATCTGTAATTAGGGTGGGGTAGGTCACTGTATGGACATTGTTTCTGCTGGTAATAGTTTGGTAACTGGGGAAGGAAGGCATCTGCTCCTTGATGTCAAACTGCACCTGACATGACAACATCTTAGAGACCTCAATAGGAAGTCCGCATCTTCTGATTCAAATTTATGTGTCTTGGGGCCTTGCATGGCCTATAATCTAATCCTCCTCCTTCACGGGCCAACATCTCAAATGAGTGCCCATTCATGTCTCAGTTGTTTCACTTCTGATCCTGTTCTCTGCCTATGGCCTGTGAAACCAGAGGAGGAAGGCCCAAGTCTTTGTGATCTTGCACTTATGTAGTAAACCCAGAAGAGACTCCTGCATCCAGGTTTAGGATCAGCTGAGCTCTAGCAATTGCAGCCAAAGGATGGAAGATCTTTCTCTGCTTCTTGCTGTAAATCTGCCTTTCAAATAAAAGTAAATAATTCTTATTATTCTTTTTATTAAAAAAAAAATCTGTGGGAGCCTGATGATGGCCTAACTGGCTAACCCTCCCCTCGCAAGTGCCAGGATTTCATATGGCTATTTAAATTCACATCCAGCTCCCTGTTTGTGCCTGTGAAAGCAACAGAGATAATCCAAAGTCTTGAACTGGGTAACCATGTAGGAATTCCAGAGGAAATTCACAGCTTCTGGCTTAATTTGGCTCAGGGCCAGTTGTAGCCTTTTGTGGAGTGAACGAGTGGATGGAACATCTTTCTGTCTCTGCTTCTCCCTGTAAAACTACCTTTCTGATACAAATATCTAAATCATCCAAAAAAATCTGTCTTTTCCATCTTCTGTTATTCCCTGATTGGCATGGACAGCAGTTCCCCAGACTAAAACCTTGAGCTCATAGGCCTGGTTTACTGTAACCTACAGGAGCTACAGGGAGAAAATCCAAAGAAGAAGTAACAGCTTGCATATCTCCACTGAACTCCATCAGCAAAGGGGAGCCCCAGTGCCTACCTGGTGATGCTGGACAGCTTCTTCTATCAGGCTGGATTTATGTGACTTGTGGTTCTTGGAGTCATGGCATATCACACAGAGGAGTTCCCCATCTGCCTCACAGAAGTAGTGCAGCTTTTCTCCATGCTTTGAACATCTCAGCTGCTCCTCTCCTGGCAGCATCTCAGAGGGATCCATAGTCTTAATTCTCTCTATCAGATTCCCCAACAGCAAGTTGGTTGAGAATGTGTCCTTTCTCATGGAACTTTTGCAGAGGGGACACTGAAGCAAATTCTCAGAAGCTTTCTTATGCCGAGTAATGCAACCATGGCAGAAGTTGTGCCCACAGTCAATGGTGACAGGGTCCTGCAGAATCTCCAGGCAGATGGGGCAGGTCACCTCCTGCTGAAGGTTGGTGGAAAATTGTTGACTGGCCATGACAGAGCATCCAGGCTGATGCTTGTCTGTAGGAATCCTGTAAGTTGGCACTGCTAACACAAGAGAGAAGAAAAGAGAGCAGGCAGAGTCTGTCAATCAACCATGGCAGCAAGGTGGGAAGAAAAGAGGGAGAACAAACTGATCCAAAGGAGTGCGGTTTTTAATCCAGTGAGCATTCTGGAGAGAGGAATCAAAAGGAAAGTCTTCTCTGGTCACCACTTGGGAAGAAATGGCCGCTGAGAAAGTATATTAGCTGATTATAAATGTGGTAAGTGCTTTTGAACCTTGGACTGGTAGTGTATAAGGCAAGTGACTTATTCAGAATGGGCAGGGCATAAATTAAAGTCACAGAGGACTTCATATCAGATTAGGAAGAGAGTGGAACCATGAGCACCCTCTGGGTCTCCCACATAGGTGCACAGGCACAAGCAACTAGACCATTCTCCACCACCCTTTCAGGCATATCACAGGAAGTCAGAGAAGTGTAGCAGCGGGGACACAAACTAGCAGTTACCCATATGGGATACTAGTATTATAGGAAGAGGCTTTACTTGTAACACAACTGCACTCACCTCAGCAACTGCCTTTCTGAATATCATTCTGTTTCCATGTTGTTCTTGATCCTTGAGGGGCTCTTCCTGATAAACCACAGCTGTTGCTATGAGTCCTCTGTGGAACTTCCCCCATATGTCTTCAATTCTTTGCTGTTATGATTCTTCTGTGTTTCTTCCTTCTTCATGGTGATACTGATTCCTGACTTGATTTGCCCTGTAGATTTTGACAAAATGAAAAACAAGAAGCACACTGATCATTTTTATCTGATGCTTATCTTAGGTCAAACAGTGGAGGTGAATGATTTAAAACTAAGCCAATGGGCCGACCCCTCCACCCCCCCACTTGGCTTTCCCTTTTGTTCTGGTTAATCGTTAACACTATCCCCTTCGATTATCAGTAACATGACAACCTTAGTATAGCAACTTTTGGAAGCCAAAGACTTTTAGAAATGTCTTATTTCAAAGTTTCTCTGATTGCTTTAAGTCTAAATCAAAGCAACATTTGTATCATGGTTTGCCACCTATATTCACCCTAAACGGATAGTCACCAAAAACAGAATTTAACATTTTCTTTTTTCTTGGCACTGTCATTGTTTTTTTTTTCTTTTTTGCATTTTATTATTATTATTATCATTTTATGATACAGTTCCATATACCCTTATCCCCTCCCCAATCCCCCACCACCACCTAGTTCCTCTATATCATTACTAATGTATAATTCTTCATACAGTCATATGTCCATCATCATGGGCATGGACAATGGCAGAAAGTCCAAAATCCTGTTGTCAAAATGTAATAAACAGTTTCATCGTAAATCCATCTTTGCCTGGAAACAGAAATGCATACCACACTACATTATCACATCTGGATGTTAGTCTCCATTACACAACTACTGTACATTCCCTTAAATAAAAAGTCATAATACAAAATCAACAGCAGAAAGAAAAATAGAAACTTACAATGCCATGAAGTTAAATGACATGTTACTACATATGACAGTCTCTATTACACAGCTACTATACATTCCCTTAAACAAAGAGCCACAAAACAAACTCAACATCAGGGAGAAAAAAGAAGTTAACAACAAAATGAAGTTAAACAACATGCTACTAAATGCATAATGTGTAGCTGAAGAAACAAAAATCAAGAACCCTCTTGAAAAAAAATGATGCCACTACATAATCTATGAGTCACTGAATGATTTAATCAGAAGAAAGTGTTTTGAAGAGATGAAATAACAGAAAACAACAAAACCCATGAGATATAGTTTCCACTGATCTGTTGAAGTGTGTCCTCCAGAAAAATAAACAGAAGGGTTTTGTTTTTTAATCCAGTCTACTAATCTATGGTGTTTGATTGAGCTTAAGCCATTTACATTCAGAGTTAAATATACATGGGTGGTATTTTGGTCCTGTCATTTTAGGAATGGGTTGTTCATTGGTTTAGTCTTCTATTGTCATTTTACTGGGATGTTCTTCCTGCTTGCCTTTGGTTTTGGTAGGTGCTTTTCCTCTTCTCTGTCAAGAGAACATCTTGAAGTATCATTTGTTAGGGCAGGTTTTGAAGAGGCAAATTCTTCTAACTTTTCTTTACTGTAGAAGAATTTTATTTCATTTTCAAAGATGAAAGAAAGCTTTGCTGGATATGTTATCCTAGGCCGACAATTTTTTTTCTTTTAGGATCTGGAATATGTCACTCCATTCTCTTCTTGCCTGTAGAGTTTCCTGTGAGAGATCTCCTGTGAGTGTAATTGTCATTCCTTTATATGTCAATTGATTTTCTTTTTCACATGCAAACTTAAGGATCTTTTCCTTATATTCGATTGAAGAGAGCTTGATGACCATGTGTCATGGTGAAGATTGCATTTGATCAAGCCTGTTGGGAGTTCTGAGCCCCTCCTGGATCTTGTTTCCCAATTCTTTCTCTAGATTAGGGAAATTTTCCTTTATTATTTCATTAAATACATTTGCAAACTCAGCTTCTCTTTCCGCACCTTCCGGGACTCCCATAACTCCTATATTTGGCCTCTTAATAGTGTCTTTCAATTCTCGAATACTTTTTTTGGCCTGATCCAGCTCTGCTTCCAGCTTTTTGCTTGCTTCCCCGTGATGACAGGAGATATCTTCCAATTCTGAGATTCTTTCTTCTGCTTGCTTCATTCTATTTTGGAGACTCTCCATTGTACTTTTAATTTGCTCTACTGTGTTCTTAATTTCTGATATATCAGCCTTGATTTGCTTTATTGCTTCTGTAAATTCTTTGAACTCTTGCATGAGCTTCTCATTGTTGATCAGAATCTTTAGAATGAGTCTTCTGGACTCTGTGTCCCCCATTTTCTCAATGTCTTCCTCACTTACCTCTTAGGTTGCCAAATGATTTTGCTCCTTTGCAGGGGAGTCTTAAGTAATACTCAATGTGCCTCTGTCTCTTCTTTTGCTGTTGATCATTGTACTTCTGGATAGCAGAGTCTTCTTCTTGGGGCAGTTTTCTATGCTGTGTCACCCAGAGGTCTACAGTTCTATTTTACGTATTGCCATTGGTACACGGCTCTTTTCTTGCAGCCACTTGTGTCACAACCTCTAGGGAGTTCTAGGCCTGTGTTCTTATGTCAGATTTCTAACATGGTCTCTACAGCCCTA